GGATCGAGAGGGCCGGGCTAGGATTGGGTGGGTCTGGATTCCCCTCTTCGGTGTCCCCAGGCCCCTTCCCGACCGAGCACGCATCAAAAATAATCTTTGGCCGTCAGCACGGACTGGGCGAGGGGCATTTGTGAACTGAAGAGCCAGAAAGGGAAAACTACTTAAAGGCTGTCTTCAGAGCTTGGGGCAACCTTGGAAACTGGCCTAGTACTGGCTCCCTGTGTGATTCCCTGCAAGACCCTCATATTCTCCGAACCTCCGTCTCCTCTATTTGTACTATCAGAGGATTGAATTAGGCCATCTCTCACATGCTTCTACTGTGATTTTGTGTCTGAGCTTTGGTTTATATGGTCTCCCAGAGTGTAGGTTAGATGTGTGCAGAGGGAGATACAGGGAGAGGGAAGGGGACATGAAATCATTTCTTTTGTTTTTTAAAAAATTTTAATTTACTGATTTTTTAGAGAGAGGAAGAAACATTGATTTCTTGTTCTACTTATTTATGTATTCATTGGTTGTTCCTTGTATGTGCCCTGACCAGAGATAGAACCCACAACCTTGGTGTACGGGAGACAACACTAACCAGCTGAGCAACCAGGCCAGGTGAAATCAGCATTTAAATAAACAGTGGACCAGGAGTCTAAGGAAATGAGATCCAGTTCTCAGTTCTGCCCCTGTATGACGTTTAGCAAGACATAAGGCTCCGAGTGCTGTTTTCTTCGTGGAAATAATAGCTGGATATGTGCTGGAGTATATCAAGGACTATTGCACTAAAAGAGAATTCTGAGTTATGTTTAGGGTGACTATTGGGTATCTCAGGATCTTTGGAATGCACATTGGGGCAGAAATGGATCCTGGGATTCAGAATTAGGCCCAGATCTATCAGGAACCAATAAGGACATCCAGAACCATAACTGAGTTTATGGCTTTCCCCAGTTCTTGCCATCTTTCTGGGCCTGAAATTGGATGGGGCAGTGCAACAACTCCCAGAGGGGTTTGCTGTTTGGCAATTTTAAAGGATCCTTATATTGTTGGGTCCTTAAAAATCTTCTTGCTAAACAGACTCTTCACCTTAGTATGCCATTCACTCATTCATTCATTCATTCTTTCTTTTATTCATTCAACAGATACTTGCCTTGCATCTGTTCTTCCAGACTATGCTTAAAGCACAGATACAGAAATGAACAAGACACTATCCCTTCTCTCAAGTATATTACATGTTCACAACATAAACAATGGAAGATAATTGAATAGTATTTTCATTTTCATTTCTTAAATTTGTCAGCTCATAGTAAATTATAACATGGGCATTATCCAAGTACATATACTTTGTTTTTGAGATTTTAAATGGCCTTGGTATATAATGTAATAAATTCTTAGCCTTAGTGTGATCAATCACTCTTGTCAGAGAACAAACTTGTCTTCAGTTTAATATCCTCCAGATTTATATATCCATTTGTAACTGTTCTCTGTGTATATTTATGTATGTTTAATATATGTGTATTAAGAGCATAGTAATAAGGGTGAAATTGCTACTTTCACTATTGCTATCAATCATGTTAGTAGCCATCATTTACTACTAATAATTTGCCAGCTTGAACTGAGGGCTTTATAGGTACTACCTCTTTTTTCTTTTTTTAAAATACTTTACTTATTTATTTTTAGAGAGAGAGAAAGGGAGGGAGATAGGGAGAGAAACATCAATGTGTCAGGTTGCCTCTCACAGCCCCCAACCCAGGCATGTGCCCTGAGAGGGAATCGAACCTGCAACCTTTTTGTTCACAGGCCAGCACTCAATCCACTGAGCCACACTAGCCAGGGCTATACTACCTTTTGTAGGGATGCAGATGAAATGATGATCAAGAGCAAGGCCTCTGGAATCAGACTACGTGGATTCAAGTTTCACCTCTGCCCTTATTTGCAACTTATTTGTAAACGTGGGCAAGTTATTTAACATCGCTGTGCCTTACTTTTCTCACCTGTAAAATGAAGAGGGCATCTATTCCAGACGCTTGTGGAATAGATTAAATAAGTTAAGTATAAAGCACTTAAAATAGTCCTTGGCACATCGTAAGTGCTAATTTTAATCTTCACGGAAGTCCAGTTGTAGAGTTATTATCCCATTTTACACACAGAAAAGTGAGACTTAGAGAGGTTTGACAAGTTGCCCAAGGCCCCAGTAGAACTGTAATTTGGACTGCAGTTTGTAGCCCCAAAGTGATGCCAATGCACTCAGTCTAATGTTGTTCAGACTATTCTGTGCCGTTCTTAATTCTTCGAACAAGCTACACTGTCAATCAATAATTAGAACTTATTTATTTGAATCCTTAGAGCTGTTAAAGTGCTATAAACCTGGTTTCTTCTTTGTAGATGTTTATAATGGAAATTCTGGACTAGAAGTCAAGAGGTGTACCTAGTTATAATTTTGAGTAAATAATGTTCCTGTCCTCATTCTCCAGACTTTTAAATAAAAGGTTTTTATGTGATTTTGCAGTTATTTCATCAAAAATTCTATGAGTCATACTTATTAAAGTATTATTTTAAACAGGAGGAATTGCCTTTCTCACAAAAACAGTAAGCTCTGAATAAGCAATCACCTCTGAAGACTTTTGATGAACAGAAGTACTATGAGTAAAATAAAAGTGTTTAATGGTGCGTTTAAATATATTCTATTTTGCATATTTAAATAGAAGTATAATTAACATATGTTACACTTTCCCTAAAACTCTTCGAATTTTGTAAGATTTCTTTCTTTGTGAAGAAAAACTACACTTAACAATTTCTTTAATTAGCAAGGTCCTTAATTTACCTTGTACACCTCCTTTCAGTGCAAACATGCTTAGAGAAGAGATTAATTTAAGCATCTTTTCACTAATTACAGAGATTAGGAAGTGGCTGCCTGAACTGTTTTCCAAAGTATAAACATTACAAAGCATTGAATAGCGTAGTTCACCAAGACGATCCTATTGGTTTGGGGTAAGTAATTCTAAAAGTTATCTTTTCCTTAAAATGTTCCATGAGTATTCTTCAGGTGGGAAGTATGGCTCTCTGAAGATACCAGCTAAGAATTGAATCAGTTTTAAGCAGAGGTAATCCATTTATAGCATCTGCAGTTTCCAGTGACCTAGATCTATGAATGGCATCTGTCCTTAGTTTCATGACAATGTTGAAAAATGGGTTAGGCTGGCAGATTGGACACCCTGCAACCTCTATCAATCTGCAGACAATACAACATCCCAAGCTTTTTGCAAGCTCTCTGGGAGTTTTTTCTGTCAGTACATCGTGTGCTTATTATAAAGAACTCTAGAATGTCTGAACTGGGAGGGACTTAAGATTCACTACTTCACAAATATTTTGTCACACTGTGCAAGCCACTTAAGGTACAAAGGTGAATATGACAGAGTCCTTCCTCTTAGGGAGCATGCTGTCTTCTAAAAACCATTAGCTCTGATGTCACTTTCTAGATGCGGAAGCTGAGGCATAGAGTGGAGAATGGAGGAACACAAGGACACACAGTGAGATGAGGCAGAGCTGGGGCTAGAGCCCAGGGATCTTGGTGCCACAAACACTGTTCTTTCTACTGATTGTGCTTCTATACTGGTTACCAATTCTTTTCACGAGGTCAACTCTGGCAGCTTCTCAAAATGCAGGCTGAAATTCTTCTAGAAAACTCTATTTTGTTAATGGTAATGAGATAATTGAAAATCCTTGGTGAGTTTTAGCTGCTGTCTCCTTGTAGACTCTTCTTTCTAGAACTAGGCTTGTTATGCCCATTAGAAACTCCCAGAAGAGAACTTCTGGGGTCCTCTATAAGCAGAACCCCAGAAAAGATGGGGGGACTGGTTACTCCCACCTCCCCAATCACTTCCCTCTCCCCTCTGGCATCTCAGGGAACAGCTAGTTGCAGAGGACAACAGAATAGCAGAGATTAGCCCCTAGTCACATACCTTTAGTCCCAGCAGATGTCCACGGTGGCCATATCTTCTGGTTTCTCTCTCTTTTTTCCTCTGTTTAACCAGTCTAGGACCTACGGAGGTGTTTCCTGAATGAGTATATGGATGAGCAGCTGTCTTTCTCTTCAGTTCTAGCCTTGTTAGCTGTTCGGGACAATGTAATCTGGAAAACATTTAACAATTTTTTATTCTAATATAGTATATCATCCATTAGTGACATTTTTTAAATTCTAGGTCAGTGGTTCCTAAATTTTTTGGCCTCAGACTCCCTTTCACTCTTAAAAATTATTGCGGACCTTGGAGAGCTTCCATATTAGTTTTGTTTTGTTTATTTACCAATGCTTTACTGTAGGGTTCATTCCCAGGTCCGTAAGAGTGAGGTGCAGGGGAAGGAGGAAAAGCAGAAGCATACAATTAGTCTTTTTTTTTTTAAAGGCTATGTTTTTACATGAGCATTGTGGGGAGAAACAAACTTTCCTCTACCCTCAAAGTCCTTTTGGCTTGTCCCATAATCAGATAGACATGATGCAGGTTAGTAAGAGAAAATAACCCAATTTATTATTTATGGGAACCCCACATACATGAGAGGGTCAGAGCGCCCACATGCAGGAGAGGTTCAGAGATGGAAAGCAGGATCAGATACATAAGACACCCTGAGCTGGGGATGAGGTAATTCACCTGGGGAGCTTCAAAAGGTCATTGAGGGATGATAAGAAAAACAAATGTTTAGTAAATAAAAGTTTGCCTTGACATATAGTGGGTCAAAAACGTTATTGCTGATAATACCTTATTATGGGCAAGGCCCCCAATTCAGGTTCTAGGTCATGAAGGGCGGACAATGCAGAAGTTTTTTTGAGCCTGTAACTAAAATTGCCTTTAACTCAAAACAGTCCACATACCACATACCACAAAACAGTCCACAGAAACACATCTTGGTGTAGCTCGTTCTGAACCCCCACACCGTACTACCATCATTGTGCCTAACAAAATTAATGGTATTTATTGTTCTTGTCACTGAACAGGGAACACAACGTCCAGCAGCTGCAAGGGATGCTGTTCCGCAGGTGCCGTCTGAAACGAGCTCCCCGTCAGAAGATTTTGTGTAGGTTCTGTGCCATGATGGGGAAACTGCAAAGCAAACTCAAACACAGCACCTACAAATACAGGTACTCCAGTGCCACCTTGGGATCCCCTGTTTTATCACGCCCCAGTAGAGTTCTCCACGAAAGAAAGAGAAGGCCCAGAGCAAGTATTGATGACCTTCCCTAAGCTGTCAGTTTGCTCAGTTTTCCTTTGGATTAGAAACAGTCAGCGTGGTAGCTTAGTATCTGCAGCTAAACAGAGAGGCGCCCTCCATCTTTGGAATAATCTCTAGAGCGAGTAAAGACTCCTGGCTCCTTGACTTCAGGACTCCCCTTTCCCAGACTCAGTCAGTCATTCTGCGCATCCACAGAGTTAGTAATACCACTTCGGCTATATCGGTGGACCTCCTTTTCCATCTTCGTCCTGGGCCCGGCCTGAGGCGCTTCCTTCACATACACTCTTCTTCCCCTTGCTCCGCTGTGCACGCCCCTACCGTTGGACCGCTGTTCTCTATCCTCTCTTTAGCAGCCCCGATGCAATTATAGAAGAGGGAATTCAAACTAGAGCTTTTCAAGAGGATAGCCCAGCTCACACGGATACCGTCTCTGTTGTTGCTGCTCTGGACTCTGACCTTTGCGTCTCCGGAGGAAAAGATAAGGTGGGATTTGCAGTGCTTTCCAGGGAACCAACTTGTTGAAGAGAAGGGAGGAAGATGTTTGGGAAGCAAGCACTGGTTTTTTGTTTCTGGCAGCGGTGTTGGGTAGTGTAAAAATATGGTTTTAGAATTAGACTGGGTTTAAGCCCCTTCTCTTACTTTGAGCAAGTCTTTTAATTTTCTTGAACTTCAGTCTCTTTTTCTATTAAATAGGAATAATAATGCCAACCTCACAGGACACTTGTGAGGATTACATGGTAAGATCATTAACACTATGCCACCACATGCTTTTTATAAATGACAAGTGTTCTTCCAGCCAATCCATTTTTACACCTACACACAGAAAGGAAGTTACTGTCAGGAAAAGGAGCCTTCTAGTCTTTTCTTTTGTGTTGCTCTTTTGCCAAACTCTCCGCCCTGGTGTGTATTGGGATTCTTCCCTTCTCTCTTTTTCTGCTTCCTCCCGCTGTCCCTTTGAATCTTGTTGCTTTCTCTCCCTCATATTTGGATCTAGCATAGCAGTCGCAGCTAGGATATCAGTAGCAAAAGTGTTGATTCTTTTGTGGTAAATAATGCCTCCCATCTTTAATAGCCTTTTATAATCTTCAAATTTCATTTTCACACTGTATTTCATTGACTTTCAGATGCATACATTTTCACACTTTAATACCTCTGAAATCTGTGTGCATTTGAAAATTAATAATAAAGCATAATTTAATTGGCAGAATTTTATCTCAAAATCTATATCATCTTAGACATATTAAATTTTATTTATATGAGACTCACCTGTGAGGGATAGATGGGTAAAAATAACATCTCCACTTTGTAGATTGAAAAACTGGGATTTAGGTCACATGCTAACATGCCCCTTACTCTCTAACAATGAACTACAGAGACTGGGCCAGAGAATGCTTTTGAAATCCCATTTAAGGGGATAAATGCTTACAACAAAATATTAAAGTATGTACCTAAAAAAAAAACATAAAGAAAATTTTAACAATGATTCTCTCTGGCAGGTAGGATATGAATGAGAATTTTTGAAATTAAAAAAGTACAGTCTGTTTCACAATAATGGGAATATACTTAACACTAGTGAATTGTATACATACAGATGATTAAGAAGACGATATATTTTTAAAACTAAAATAAAAATATATTACAATTAGGGGGAAAAACCTAGTCCCACGTGGAATTCTCCTTCAGCGTCTGCAACCAGAACCTCAACCTAAATCAATTTTCCTTAGGTTGTGTTATCCCAAAGCCATCAATAAAGTTCAGAGGGGTGGCCCAGGAGCTGGAAGAGAGAGATCAGGAGAAAAGACAGAAGCTTGAAAGTATGGAGATATGAGGAGGGACATACTAGAACCCCAGTGCTTGATGCAAGTCACTTGACCGAGAGGGAGAAGTTAGATAGAAAACGAAGTAAAGGCTTGTTGTTTCAGTTAAACGAATATTCAGTTAAATTAAAATATACTAATGACTCTTTGCAGACAGTTGTGGCCTATAACTGGAAAACTGGGAACGTGGTGAAAAAGTTCAAAGGACACGAGCGTGAAATCACGAAGGTAAAATTGTCAACTAATTATTATCAGGGAGGGAATTTGAAACTGAATAAAGGAATACCTGATAGCTCTAGATAGTAAGAGTGATTGAATATTCAGTTGTAAAAGAAAATGCAAGGGCTTTATATTTGATGCTGTGAAGTCCTACTCCAGGAAAACCAGAACAAACCATTCACTTAGCTGTTGGTACAGGTATATTGACGTAATTTTTCTTCTGTTATTAAGCCTTTAATAGTTTAGGTGGTAAATAGAAAGCAGCTCTCCCTGGCTGATCCTAACTCAACAGGGACACGCATTGAAGACTTACTGTGTGTTTACCATAGTGAGACAAATGACAAAGTCTCTATGCTTAGGAATCTTTTAGTCTAGTTGGGGAAATTTTTTAAAAGCCAACAATAATTAAAGTTAATTTTTTAAATAGCTTTACAGAGTGGAGTGAGTTTCCAGCAAAAGTGATAGAGAATGCCCATTTATATGACTCTCTGCAGTCCACCTAAGTGAACCAAAAATCAAGACGCGAACTATCATGATGAAATCAGCCACAATCCCATAGCACAGAATAGGGTACTTATTAGCTGCCAGTTACAGTGCATTTTGAACCAGGCCAGGCGAGAACATCAGGCTCTAACACACTTATCCCCAGGTCTTTTTCCAGCTTTAAAATCCAATCAAAAAAGCATCCAGAGCTTTTTTTCTTGAGCAGATAGCCTGTGTGCGCAAATCAAAGCAGCTCTTCAGCGCCTCTCGGGACAGGACGGTCCTGATGTGGGACTTGCATGGTTCCCCACAGCCCAGGCAGCAGTTCTCGGGCCATGCCATGGTGGTCACGGGACTGGCCGTGAGTCCAGGTCAGTAAGGCAGAGCTCTCCCCAGTGCCGCTGTGCTTTCTGAAAAGCCCTCTTCCAAGTCCGGCTCATGGACCATCTTCTTGCTCTTGTTTGCAAAGACTCGTCACAGCTGTGCACCGGCTCTCGGGACAACACCTTACTTCTGTGGGATGTGGGGACCGGACAGTGTGTGGAGAGAGCGTCAGTCTCCAGGAACTTGGTACGAACTCAAACTTGCTCCAGGGCAGGGCAGCGGAAGAGGGGACAGGGTGAGGGAAAGGGCCTGGAAAAGAGATCAGGAGACCCACCATGATCACGTTATGGGAAGCTCAGGTCCTATTACTGCTCACCCCCAACTCTCTGCCTCCAGCCCCTCAGGGTTATCAAATTAGATGATCTCTTAAGGTCTTTGCTCCAGAGAACAATTCCAGTAGTTTATGTCGGAGTCTTCAAGGGTGTCCTCACTTATTCCTTCAAAACACAGTTATTTCTTGCTTCTGTGCTTAGAGCAGGATAAGTGACTAAGGACACAGTCTCTATCCTCCAGGAATTCACATTATGTGGAGAACTTAATATAAGCAGAGCACTTACGCATGCAGAGCACTTACGCTGAGTGCTTTGCATGTATAACATTACATGGAGAAATAAGTATTACATTTTGCTTTCTATGTAATTTCCTCTGTTTATGAAAACCAGTGTTTTCTGGTAGCAGATTGGTATGTAAACTCCACAGTCTTTGGGGTCAGTGATGCCTGATTTCAGATCCTCGATCCATCATTTTTTGGCTGTTATCCCAAGAAATTAGAGTCTCAGCATCTTCATTTATAAAAAGATGAGAATTATATCACCTGACATGGTAGATGTGTCTTTAGTGGTCATCAAAAGTTAACCATAGTTATCTTTTCCAATTTTGAAGACAACTATCAATGGCAAGATATGTTTGCCTTATGCCTTCCTGATTAGTGGAGGTTCCTGGGAAAAAAGAAAATCCTGTTCTTTGGATTGTTCTGAAAAGTCTTTCATGCCTGTCCACCAGAGGACTGTAGGGATGAAGCAAAGGAAGAACACTTCCTGAACCCCGCTGTGGCCGACACTTGGGTTTCAGTGGCCCTGCTTTACAACGGGGGCCGCCCCCTCGCTGCTGCAGGCCGGCAGGTCTTTATCCCGTGTTTGGGGTTCAGGTCCTCCAAGAGCGCCAGCGCACACCTGGGTGCTGACAACTGGCCCGGCTGCTACCATAGACACTGACAACCTAGGAGATGCAAGGAGAGCGTGTCTGGCGGATATCGGCAAAACATAAAACTCCTCCCTCTAAGTCAATTTCCTAGTTGAGCATCCTTGAGAAGCGGTGCAGAGATGCTATTTAGCACCGTTGACAGGAATTCGTTGACTTGGTATGGAGACATTTTGAAAATTATGCTCCTTTTAGGTCACTCACCTGTGTTGGGTCCCCCGAGAACCATATGTACTACAGACTTCTGAGGATAAAACCATCAGGTGGGCTAACTGAGCGTCAGTGAAGGTGTTTCTGGTGAAGGTTTGTGGCTCCCGTGCCTACACAACACCACTCTGCTTCTCTACATTGCTGTGTCCTTCCCAGGGCCTTCTGCCCCTCTGCCCCTCACGGGTGCTGGGGCCTCTCTGATCTGGCCCCACGGAATCATCTGGGTAGAGGGTAGATGCCAGTCAGACCAGGGGGAAAATAAACCCTGTTCTGATTGGTTTCAAAGCAGCTGATTCTTCCTGCTCCTGCTGTGTGAACACGCTCAGATTAACGTCAGGATCTGCCACTTGCTCCTCCCACCCCTTCAAACTGCCTGGCTTTACTCAGTCTCCCTGCTGGGTTCCTACCGGTCTCAATCACCCAGCCTCCGGGGAAGCCCTACCTGGGAAAGCAGGGTCAGAATCACCATCAGGAGAGGCAGATGGAATAAGTTTTCTCAGACCAGAAAGCATGACTAGAAATTTTGGATTTTCAGAAGAGATTCTGCTTAGAAAATGGTGGGAATAAGACAAGAGAGAAAATATTCCCGAGCGCACCCTGTGGCCCAGGTTGGCCACAGCCTGTAAATCTTATGTATCTGAATCTGGAGAGATGATCGCTCCTCTGTACTATCATAAGCATCTTTTAAAAAATTTCTAAGTCACAGGCACAGAAATATCCTCTTGTCAGTTGAAAGCAGTATCCCAAAAGACCAAATTCACAAATTAACTTGTACAATTAAGATGCTTGGTCTAAATTTCTATTAACTAGATCTCAAAATAGAAAGAACTCAGATGTCTTTTTGTTATTTCCTGCCAGCTTTGGAGTCTCCGAGACTGATCTGGTTCATGCTGCTGTTTTTAGATATATCATGACTCCATTCTGACTGGCCGAAGCAGCAAAGAGCCAAGACTCTTCTGTCAGCAGGCGATTACGGATGTATTTCAGACACATTTACTATAAACTCATTTTTTGCCATAATTTTTTTCAGATTATGGGACAGTCGGGGGCTGCAGGTAGCTCATCTATTTCCCACCAAGCAGCACATTCAGACCTACTGCGAAGTCAGCGAGGACGGACACAAGTGCGTGTCCTGCAGCAGCGGCTTTGGAGGGGAAGGCTGTGAAGCCACGGTGAGGGCTCTGGGGGGCCCGGTGTCTGGTTGCTGATCAGCCAATAACTTACTCTGGCCTCCTGCCTGTGCTGGGCTACACTGGCGGGTCTACTAATGGCTCAGGCCTATTCCCAGTGCAGACTGTAAGTGATCCTTTGCCTTCCAGATTGTCCCTTCAAGAAACATCCACTAGCCTCGGGAGGGGTGTTCAGCCTTTTAGTGTCTCTGGGCCACACTGGAAGAAGAAGAGTTGTCTTGAGCCATACGTTAAATACACAAACATTAATGAAAAGTTTTTAAGTAAATTTATGATTTTGTGTTGGGCCGCATGTGGCCTATGGGCCGTGGGTTGGACACCCCTGGTAGGGTGAGAGTCAAGATAGGAAGGCAATGTCTTGAAGTGGCTGGCTGGGTTCATGTCCCAGCAGAGCTTAGAAAGAGGAAGGAGGAAGAACCAAGTGTTTCTCATTGTGCACGTGGGCCCCGTGAAGGAGGTTCAAGCTCTTTAGGAAGTTTGGAGCTCCAGGGTCAGTCAAGGGCCCAGCGCATCCCTCTCCCACATAGCTTTCCTTGCAGTTAATTTTGGGATAGGCTCTTCCAAATTGCCTATCCCAAATTGGATTCCTAATTGCAGAATAGCAGTGAAACAGGTTATCTAGTATCTACACAGAACAATTACAACTCCCATTATATGAAACATTTCTTATGTGCTAGGCACTGGGCTGAGCACATTACATGCATTCTCTCATTTAATCCTTAAAACGAATGTGCAAGTACTATTATCATTCCCATTTTACAGATAAGGAAATAGAGAGACACAGCAAGTTGAAATTCCTTGTACAAGACCAAACCTCCAGTAAGGGTTGGGTCAAGGTTTTAAATCCCAGGCTGCTGATGTAGCATCTCTTCTCCAAGCTAAGCATTTCCAGCTCCTACAACTGTCCATTAGATGACACGGTGTCCAGTGATTTCGTTATTTTTTAGACCCAGCTCTGTTTGCTCTCCTACCCGTCCATTATTCTCTGTGGTCTGACCCGTATCTGCAGAGTGGGACTGGCAGGACTGACGCCTCCGTTGTTTTAGACTCTAGTCTTCATAGACCATGGTTTAGTGACTCCACATTAAGTCAGAAGCTCTGTGCCTGTATGGACTTATGAGAAGGTGCTCCTAACTATGGTGCTCCCCACAGGACCCACAGATACCAAGAGGCTTATATAAGGTAGCTCTTGAGCTGTCCTAGAAAGTAGGTAACCTCATACTGTCTCATCATGCTACAGGACTTGGAGCTTCACTTCCCTAAGTGATGGTAATGAGGAAGACAACAACCCTTCCGGCACATCCTTAACCAGGGTTGTTTGGGGCAGAGTTGATGCTTAAAATAATCACTGGATGGATGGATGGTTGGCTGTGTGGTTGGGATGGATACAGATAAGGGGTAGCTACATAAGTAAGTAAGTGGAGGGAATAGGTGGGTCATGAGGTGGAGGGGCGATAGATATCAACAAATGACACTGGAGAAATGTGTATGTATGAGCTAGCCTATGTCATTACTTTGTACTTTGCAGTTGTGGGACCTACGGCAGACGCGGAACAGAATATGTGAGTATAAGGGGCATTTCCAGACTGTTGCATCCTGTGTCTTTCTACCAAGGGCACTGGCCTGGACGCCTGTAATTGCTACCTCATCACATGACTGCAAGGTGAAGATTTGGAACCAAGATACTGGAGGTAAGGAACCTGCTGTTAGTGCTTCTTTAAAGATGCATGAAGTCCTAAAGGACTCTCTAAAATTTTCTTTCCATTGCTCAGCACAGCCACACATGTCCTGCCACTGTTCGGTCCCCTAATGGTTAAGACCAGATACCAGAATCTCTGTTCAATCTCTAGCCAGTGGCTGCTACCACATAACTCCTTGTACCATATTATATCGACTCATTCCTGAGAGCTCAAATACATACATTGGGCTCTTAGATTCTTTCTGTGTACTTGAAGTTCCTCATCAGTTTTATTTTTTTTAAGATTTTAGAGAGAGAGGAAGAGAGGGAGAGAAACACTAATGTGCGAGAGAAATGCTGATCAGTTGCCATTGATCAGTTAGATCTCGCATACCCCCAGCCGGGGACCTGGCCTGCAACCCAGGCATGTGCCCTGACTGGGAATCGAACTGGTGATGTTCCGGGTCACAGGCCGGCACTCAACCCACTGAGCCACACCAGCCAGGGCCCTATCTGGTTTTAACTCGTGGTGCTCCAGATGTCTGGAATGGAGAACAAAAATTGCCATTTTAAAATGTATTTTTCAAGAACAAAAATGAGAGCGTCAGCTCTTGGGGGTGAGGTGGAGTAAGGATAGTTTCAGAAAGGCTCTGCCCTATTTTGACTCTGCAGTGAAGGTTCAAAATCGCAGGGAAGTCAGGACACTTCAAAGCTCCAGAGAGAAAAGTGCTTTAGGGAACACAGCTCTTGGAGTTCCTGAGGCAGTGGTGTGCTGATCCAGCTCCTAATGGCTGATTGCTAAATAGTCAAGGATATTTAATACATGGTAGTGGGAGTATTTACACCACAAAATTTGGCAAATGCTATGAATAAAGGTTTTTTTTTCCTTCCAGAGAGCTGATTTACCAGCACCCCACTGCCTCCGTGCTGTTTTGTCCTGAACACAGCATTCTACAAGTCATAGGAATAGTGTTGGGTTGGCCCAGAAAGTTCATTTGGTTTTTTCCTTAAGGGGGCTCTAGTAGCACTTAGTTGTCTTTAACTTCATTTGAAACAATTTTGTTAGATTGTAATGTGACAGCTGTCGTATCACAGTGCAGTTAAAAAAAAAAAATCAAAATTGGTGAATTTTTGTGTAGTCATTTTAATATTGAAGATGGAAGAAAATAAGCAACATTTTCAACATATTATGCTTTATTATTTTTTAAGAAAGGTAAAAACGCAACTGAAATGCAAAAAAAGATTTGTGCAGCTTATGGAGAAGGTGCTGTAACTGATCGAGAGTGTCAAAAGTGGTTTGAGAAGTTTTATGCTGGAGATTTCTTGCTGGACGATGCTCCACTGTCGGATAGTTGATAGTGATCAAATTGAGACATTAATTGAGATCAATCAATGTTCTACCGCGGGGGGGAAATAGCTGCCATACTCAAAATAACTAAATCAGTAAAGTTATTGGTGAAAATGAGAAATGTATCTTATTTTATGGGAAAAACTAAAGGAACTTTTTGGTCAACCCAATATTAACTTCGAGAACCTCAAACCAAATCCCTCCTACGGTAATCTTCCAGAAATTCGGGTTCCAGCAGGGGAGGAGGGGGTAGCTCCCTCAGAGAAAAGAGGGGAGAGCGTGTCAGATGGCACACAAGCTAAACTTACACAGTGAGGACAGCCCCTCTGTACCCTCACCGGGAGCTGCCTTCTCCAGGGACCCAGGTGCAACTTCTGTGGGAGGTAGGAGAAGCAGCTTTTTAGATTCAAGGATCATAAACCTGAGACCGTGGGGGAACAAGATCTGAAGTCCTACCCTGCCCACCAGCTGTGTGCCCATAGTTCTGAGGCGGCTCTGGGGTGCAGATGGAGGGAAATTGGGTCAGCAGGAAGCCGAGACTTCCCCAGGCTGCCCCATCATCCTTTGCCTTAAAGGGACCAAGACCTTGGGAAGCCAACAACTGAAACTCAGTATCCCTGTCTGTTTTCCTCTGCCCTGGCCCTGCTCTGTTCCCAGAGCAGGTCACCGGGCGCAACTTTTTAACATGTCCTTGCTGGTGAGGCCCCAAGTGTCTGAACATACTTCTAGGAGGTAACTATCCAACCTGTTTGGTCTGTGTGCCATTCTCGATAGCTGAAGACCTGGGGTCGGCTCAAGTTCTGGGTTCCCCACTGGTGCATGTTCCTCTGAAGCATGGGATGCCTCTCTAGTCTGGGTCAGATACATGGAGCACTTGCTTTAATTACATGGACTTCTTACGAAGACATCACATTTTATGATATTGCACTCTTGGCCTAAGCTGCTGGTTACCCACTTCCTCCCCCAGCCTGCCTGTTCACCTTGTCTCTGGATGGATCAGGACCCTTGACTTCCCTGGCCGTTGGCGACACCATCTCCTTATTGTGTGCAAGTTTCAGCAGAGGAATTCACTTGCTCAGAGTGGACCACAACCAAGGGCTAGAACTGCAGGAAGTGGCAGTATTCTGAGGCCAGGAGATTTTGCTGGACAATATCAAACCATGGCCCCCCTTTCTCAGTGTGGCTTTGTGTTTTTCCATGTTATCTTTAGGGTAGGGTGATGCGGGGCTGGCATTCTTTGCTTAGGTTCACTTAGGAGGTATCTTAGTGTTAGAAGTCAGTTTAAAGCCACTGGTTCAAAATCAGGTGCAGAGTTTAGAAATGTTGACTAATGTAAGGTTCTCAATCTAAGTTAAATCCAAATGCAACTTTTAGTGAGCTCTTAGAACTGCTCTTCAAAAAAAAAAAAGTTATGGCTCAAAATGGTGACCTGTAGGTCTCTGTAATATGTTTCTGTGAGAGTCAGGACGCAGGGTCTGAGTCTCTTGAACTGACCTTTTCCATGTCTCCACAGAAGAAAAAAAAGGAAGGGGGAGAGCAATTCTGTTTTGCTTGGCTCAAAATTATCTGCATGGGAAAGGGTAGTGCAGCTCCATAGAGGAAATAGATTGTAGACATGCTATTAGGGTCCAGACACTGCTCCTCGGCAATGTGAAGAATCAAAGTTAGGGCAAGAAAGCAAAAGCCTTGGCTTCTGCTCAAAATAGCAGAAAGGGTGGCGAATCCCTGCTGGTTCCTGGTCTCTTCTTAGACTGGTGCAGAGCTTTTATGAAAATAAGACCCGAGATGGCTTGAAGGGGCCGACAACCCCAATGACCTTGTCCAGAATTATAGAAGTTACCGAACTGGTTCTGTGGGTATGAAAACGGAGAGATTGCAAGATCAAAGCTTACAATTTTTTATTTGTACATTATCATATTTTTACTTAGTTTTATGTAGATTCTTTCTCGGGAATGGCCAGAGTGAGGCAAAGGGAATGTCTGCAACGACGATAGAGCAGAGAAAAAGTAGAGGCATGGACTCCAGTGTGCGCTGTCCATTGAGGGCCCCCAGTGGGGAGGGGCCGTGCTCAGGTGTGCCCGTGTGGCCCCCGGGAGGCCGGCCCCCACCTGGTGCTCACAAGCGCATGTCCCCTAGGGAACATAGAGTTCCTCCTGCCTTCAGGCAAACCTGCGCCTAAGGATTCCCTTTCTGATGAGTCTGAGCCAAAGAGATTTTGCGGCTGTCCTCTCTGGCCCCTGCTTGCCCCTGATTCCCGTGGCTGACAGCCGTCTTCCTCGTGCTCCCTAGTGCTCGTCTTTAAGTCCAGCTCCCCCAAGCTGCCTCCACCCACTGGGGAGGAGAACCTTAAGCTACTGCGAAGCGTCCAACCTGGGTTTGAATCTCCACTTCTCTATTTAGCTGGATGATCTTGGGCAAGTTGTGAAATCTCAGTTTCCTTACTTATATAGGTCCATAATCATACATTCCTTACAGGGCTGTTCTGAGGACTAAACAGAAGTGTACTAAATGCCAAGCAAGGTTGTAGGTGCGTATGAGTGGTAGCCATTGTTATTTATTGCCCTCTGTCCAGACTAAATGCTCTCTTTACCAATGAAACACCATTCCATTATCCATTCTCCGTAGGTCTTATTGGCTAAGCTTTAGTCATTGTTCAGCTTCCCCTTTGACCTTGGCACTCTGAAGGGACAAAGGGATAGTGAGAGCATGGAAGCTGCGTCACTGAGCACCTACAGATGACTGAATACTTTTATTCTTCCTCTGAGTCTTATTGTTATCCCCATTTCACAGATGAGGAAGCAGAGGCCCAAGGTCACACCCATAGGTAGGAAGGGGAAGAAGTGAAAGTTGAACCTAGGCCAGCCTGACTCAAAGCCGGATTGCTTTCCTCCCTTTTCCTCTGCCTTTGGATGATGTCACAAAGTTCACTTCAGAAATGGATAGAGATCATGAAATTGTTGTTGCATTTTCTAGACCAGTTATTAACTTTTTGGCTCCAAGGAGATCCTCCTTGCCAGATGCCTGGGAGCAGCACACAGGTGTCACAGGGAAAGCCCCAGAGCACCTATTAGTGCTACAACTGACCCTTTCTTCTAGAAGGGAAACAGGCAGTAAGTCAGGAAACCCAAGGGGGCGGGTTGGGAGGGCGTCCCGGGGTAGGGGGGACAGGCTGCTGTGAGAGGGAGCCCACCAGTGAGAAAACAGCGGGGCGCTGCTGAGTTAGCAGGATTCTACTACCAGTAAACTTGTTGCCCTAAACTCAACCCATGTGCTTGATATATAAATGCCTTATCTGTGCATTTCAAGTAGAAAAGAGATTAATAAATGTAAATGTTTTTGTAGAATTTTTTAGTGTTATGTGCCCTAAACAGGTACTCTCAGCACCTAAGATACAGGCTGCTAAAATGCATTCATTCATTCATTCATTGAACACTTCGTTTCAGAGGCTGCCCCTCTAAGTCATAGTAAGGGATTTTCCAAAGACAGTTACATATTTAAGGAAAGGAGTGGTGATTATTGACGGCTTTCATTTTGACACAGGAAATACATCTATAAAACTCAAGTGTGCTGTTTTTAACCTTTTAATATTGAAAAGAGGGAACTTAGCTATTTCTGAGTAGCCTTTGAAAACATAATGACTAAAGAACAGCTTCATCTTAAACAATGCTCTGACTGCTAATTGTTTCCTGAAGAGGGCACCTCTCCTTGGCACAGGCAGCCCAGCTAAGACTGCGTTCCCAGCTGGGCATGGCCGCGAGAGTCGGTTCTTGACAGCGGGTGGTGAGCGGAGGTAATGTGTGTAACGTCCACCTGATTTGCTTGAAAGAAACACATCCGTCCAGGATTACCCCTCCGCCCCACCCACTAGCTCGAATGCAGACTGCCGGTAATAGCTTCAACTATTCAGAGGAGGACAAGATGAAGAACCAGCAAAAAAAGAAGGAACCAGGGGCCCCGAATAACCTCAAGGAGCTGAGCTGCTGCAACAGCCTGACCAGCTGGACTATGACCTGAAAGAAAAATGAACTTCATTCTTTTTTAGCCAATTTATACTTTTTAAACTTTTAATGCAAGTACGCAATCATAAACCATTCCAGACATCTTCAGTTTATAGCTTTTTGAACACATTCTAGTAGCCAGTACCAAGACGAAGAAGCATAATGTATCCAGGAACGTAATGGCCTCCCTCATACTCCCGTCCAGGCCTACCTGCCAAGGAATTTGTAACATCCAAGTTGTTTTGTCTGCTCTTCTACTTTGTGTAAACGGAATCATACTGTATTGCAGTAGATGGAAAATGTGGCCACAGATTTCTCCCATTCCTGTATGTCTGATTTTTTGCAATGTGACATTTTCTTATCAGTAGGTAGGGTCTATTTCCCCAACCCTTGAATCTGCACTGGTCTTCTGACTTGGTCTGACTGATAGAATGAATCCAGGGCAACAAAGGCCATGCGGCTTGAGAGGCCAGGGCTTCAGAGGCCTTGCAGCTTCACTTTCCCCCCTTGGAATGCCACTCTGAGAGCTCCGTGTCCGAAAGGCAACCTAGGCCATGTGGAGGACAGCCAGGCACCACCAGGTATGTGAATGAGGTCACCTTGGACCTTGTAACCCCGCCAAATTCAGTCACAGATGAGATCAGAAAAGAAACCACAGCTATCCCAGACAATCATGAAAAATAAAGAATCATTGTTTTGAGACACTAAGTTTTGGGGTAGTTTGTTATTCAACAGATTTAAGTGAAACAAGTATATGCTTTTATTATGACCAGGCTTCAGTTTGCTCAACATGTTTGTGAGATTGATTCATACTGTTGCATGCAGTGGGATATGATCCCTTCCCTTTGCTGTAGTATATTCTAACGTGGGAAAATATTATAATGCATCCATTTCACTACTGATGGGCTAGCTTCTAGTTTGGGGCTCTTACAAACAGTGCCACTGTGAACATTCTAATAATAGGTCATTTGGTGAACATATGCATGCATTTGTGTTCATTAGGTAACTAGAAGGAGGCCTTTCTGGGCTAGTGTGTAAATAAATTGCATGATCAGCTTTAGTAGATACCACCTCTTTTCCAAACAGGTTGTCCCAGTTCACATTCCCACCCGCTGTGCAGGAGCATTAGCAGAGTTTCAGTTGTTCCCTGCCAACACCCTGTGCTCTTCAACTTTGCAACCCTCAGTGTAAGGTGAGTGCATGGAAGGTGAAGAGTGCACTAGGGAAGTGTTAGCTTCATGAGCCAATGTTAGAAAAAAGCTGGGCCATCTGGATTTGATGTCTCCCTTTCTTCCTAACACTTCTAGTTAAAAGGCAGAAGTTAACAATAAAAACTCACAGACACACACTGCTCTATATTTTAATACTACTTTCACAACCATAATTTCATCTGAGTCTCCCAATAACAGTGTAAAATAGGTAGCCTCGAGAATATTACTTCTGCAGAGAAGGAAAGTGATTTGCCAAAGATCACATAGCATGTGGCAGAGCCCAGATGAGAGCCCGGGTCTTCGGACTTGCAGACTGGCTGTTCCTAGCAAAGCCCTCTGCTTCCAATGGCGTTGTCCGGTGGTGGGCCGGGGACAGGTAGGAGGTATTTGTAGCTAAGTGATACAGGTTAAACATCGCAGACAGAAGGAAAGTTCAAGCCATTCCCTTATGCCATCTCCCCAGGGTCTGGAACACAGCATCCTGCTTAGTCAAGGTCCTGCACGCAGTAAATGAAAAAGCCAAGATTTGGAGTATGCACATGCTGGACTCTCTCAACTCATCCAGAAATAGCCTTTTGAAAACTGGCCAACTTCACATGACTGATAACCATGCAGACATTTATACTGAGGCTGCACAGAATGCTGTCCTTAATTCACCCTTAGTGAAAACACAGGTAACAAAACAGTACAGCATCGTGCAGCATCGTCCCATTTTGGTAAAAATAGGTCTGCACATATGTCTCTACGTTCAGAGATAAAGGTCTGGAAGAAAGAGAGCGAACATAACAGTCTTATCTCTGGGCAGTGACTTTAAAGATCAATTTATTTTTGTACTTGATGCCTTTCTGTATTTTTTCTTTTCTTTTTCTTTTTTTTGCAATGAGGATGAATCAGTTTCATTTTTTTTTAACTTAGTTTT